TTTTAATCTTTATTGTAAGTATTGCTTGCTAAATAAGGTAATGTTTATGAAATGTAATAATGTGTCAAACAATCAGTGTTGACGCATCTTGCTGGTTCGAGGAAGGAAATAACGTGATGCCCAATTTACAATGCCGGGCATTAATGATGTGGGAATGGGCTCTATTTCTTTGGCGGGAGATGGGATGGTGGAAATGTGACGGTGGCACCAGTTCAAAAAGGTCCTCTGAGCACTTTCCTTAATAAAGACTGCAGAACACACATAGAAACCACCTTACTTTGTTTGAATCCGAATAAATACTTCATTTCCAGCTTAGAAATGCTTGTAGGCTAGTTGTTTATATAACTAACAATGTATCTTTAAACAAAACCAACGCCCTTTATCTTGTATTCCAAGAACTATTACCTATTCAAAAACATACGAGTGGGTGTTAGATGACGCGTGGGCAGATACTGACTATATTCTGTATAAGGTTTCGAGATGATATCATCCTTTTGTTTACAAAACCTTTTGTTAGTTGGCAGACCTTTGAACTGTATACTGTAACTTAAGGTCATTCGCTGAACAGTATTCTCTAAGTATTAAACTTTTCGTCGCCCTTGCCGAAGGTGAGGACAAAAATCTTGGATTTGTTTGTATCATTACCATTCTGATACGACGATGATGAGATCCAGTATGTCTTCAGTCCGCGAGAGCAGCTAATAATTTCTTCGATGCAAGTGCCCAGCACATTTTAGAGGTGCAAGTATAGATGTACTTGCACCTCCAAAATAATCGTAATAAATCTCGGTAGGTAGAAGGCTTCTGGCATCTTACAAGTAGTCACAATGTTATGTATACGTAGGTGTAAATATAATAAATATACAACAATAAAACATATCTTGGAAATATTTTATTTTCGGATCGAAATCTTGCTTTCTTGCTCAGAATTTGAATGTCATGTAGTAAAACATCGTAATATTCAATCAACTTGGTATTGCAATTAGTGATGTCCTAATTGTTATTAATTTAAATTACCTATTTTTAATTTACCAAAGAACACCGAAAAAAGGTTTGTTTCAAAAAACAAAAATACACGCTTTTTTACAATACCAAGTAACAGGACGAACATGTCATGCGCCTGGCGGTAAGTGACATGCCTATACATAACAGTTACAGTGCCACTAGAGCTGTTAATCGCAAAGATCTTCTGAGCATTGCCACTGTGCCCGTTACTCTGAGACATAAGTTGACGAGTCCCATATGTCTGTAATTTCACCATTATTCTTACCCTTACAAACCGGAACGCAGTAATGCTCACATTACTGCTTAGCGGTGTACTAATGGTGCAGAGAATCTCATAATTATAACTTATGTTAGATTGCGGCATGCACCACAGGGTCAGCTAACCTTTTCGAAGAACTAGGCAACGCTCTTCAACTTGCTGACCCATCCATATGCAAAATATGCGTTATAAGACGCATATTTATACATATACATTGTAGTGTGTCCCACACTAGTTATTAATCGTTCTAGAAACGCAGTCTATGCCACTGTTTTCTAATCAATAAATAAACTCAACCACGTACATCTAACTACAAACAGAATTCTAAATTATTGCAATTGCTTCCTGTACTCCTTTGTTCTTCATTCTGTAATAAGAGACTTAATGACAATACGTGAGGGGCCTGCAGGCAATGCCTTTGTATTAATTACAAAACGACACCGCTTTGTACCGCGTTATTCTGGTTCTAACCGGATACATGCACTTCTGTGAAGTTAAAGATTTGCGGTGCAAGTAATTTACTATAGAAACGTTTATATATTCGTAGTAAGTATTTTTTGGTGTGGTTATTAAAAATTCTTTGTTAATTGATGTTTTGCCTAGCTTTATTCGTATACCTATTTAAATTAGTTTTGAATAATATTTTTAGACATAGTTATGTACTTATGTGCATTAGTAATTAGTTATGGTATTTATTTGACCTACATTTTGCGGCCTTTAAACACGGTCGAGTTTCAAGGCGAGTAAACTCGCGCTAGCCAAGTTATGGGGTGTATAAAAATAGTCAAAAAACTACACTCCGTCCAAACATTTATTTCAATTTTTGACATATTCAGGCCTCCGAAGTTCCGTAATTATTGACATTCAATCATAGACAAAAAATGTAACATATCCTGGACTCTTTTATTTTTTAATTTTAGTGAAGCGACGTGCTCTTTAGCTCCGATATTTATCGAGCATAATCTATTGGACTATGTAATGAAGATTATTGAAGTTGATAAATTTTGATACCTGTCTAATAAATTGTAATGTAATGAAATAAATTATACATAATTATAATAAATTCTTATTGTTTATTATAATGAATCGTCGGATTCTTTTCCGTATGTACGGAATCCTCACTTGAATCCTCATTAACATTAATTCTTGAGTACACAAATTGTCTAACGTAACATCACAATGCCAATCAGACAATATCTTCTTTTTGGAACCCGCCCATATTCACGAATAAAACTTCTTCATACATAAAATCGATTGTGATAAAAAATCGAATTGGATACGCATTGGGACATTACTAATTGATTAGAATTCGAGCTGTCAATAGTTAAATACTTAAATGGTTGGACGGAGTATATGTGTGCATATTTAGCACGGGATCTGGATCCAAAGGGGATTTGAAAAACAGCAGAGATCCACTCATTCTATGTTGCTGTCCACGCAACACTGATGATGACGACGAATTTCACAATGCGGGAGGCAAAATCTTTCTTTACTTAATAATAGAATTGATGATGTTTTTCATCATTGGTCTTGTTTTTGAAATTCTTTTCGTTATGGGAAAGGCAAAGGTTTGGTGTTTTACTAGTTTTAGGGAAGTAGTTATACATCAAGTTCATTAAGCCTCGTTTTCGACGTTTCATCATACCCGAGTGGAGTCAATTTAAGGTATAGCGTTCCAATTCCGGGTAAAGTTCTAGACACATGTGCGTCGAATCCGATTAGTTTGTTAATTCCGATTTAATCCATTTTAAAAGATTTTTTATTATAGAACAAATATAATTGAATGTAAATTTCAGTGTTCTTAAAAAGCTCTTGAGTATTACGCGGACTCTTTTTATTACTAATGGCTTTACCTACGCATTTAGCCAATCAAAAATTAAGGGAAATAGCAATTACTGATTATGGAAAAGGTACGGAATTTTAATGAAATAGGACGTCGTAGGTTGAGTAGGTAGTAACTATTAAGGTATGTATCGGCATGCATATTATTTTTGATATATTAGGACAGTATATTACATACATCTTTGTTACATAAATACAATAAACTTTACACAAAACTCGATCGTGCAACCTTCAGCTCTTTAAGTCCTTTAACCCAACTTTTTAATGTAAAATTTTAAATTTATATTATAATCAAGAAAAAAATATTGTACATTTTCCAACCAAAACAGAGACATCTATCTCTCTCCGCAAACACGTTTGTCAAAGTAGGTGTAAACGTAGGGATGCGTTAACACCCTAAGTAGCTGTAGGGCAGCAAGAGCACGGGGTAAGGTTGTGGAAAAGCGGGGGTAGACGAGGGGTAGTGATTCATCAATTGTGCAAAGTGCCACTTCATATTCCGTCTGTCTGTTCGCTTTGCCGCCTCAAAATGAAAGCGGATTGGGTGATACGCCATTTTATGTTCTGGATTTTATATTTTGAAGATTTTGATTATGAAGAAATTTGGTTTAGGATTTATTTTTTATTTATTGAGGCCATATATTGTTCTTATTGATATTTATAAGACGTTAAATTATTCCACATCCCCAATTTAGGCTAAAAATAAACGTTCAATCGTTCCGCTTGATGTAAATATCGAAAAATATCATGACATATTTATTTACTATAAGTACTTTAAAACTATCATCATTTTATATTAATAAAATGTGGAGACTATACCTGCCAACATCACAATGCTTGCCTCCCTAATTTCTTTTTGTATAGAGCAAAAAAGTACATTTAAATGCACTCTAACTTCTTTCTCGCTAAGCAAATAGAGTTAGTTGGATAATTTGACACTGCACCCCACGGGAATCGAACCTGGGTCCTGCACAGGGGTGCAATCGTCCGCAATGCGACATTAGAATAATAAGATTTTTTTTGTATGCATCTGAAATATTGATGAAGACATTAATGCTTTTTTGGTGAATGTTATTTAGTTATAGTGTATTGAAATGTTAATGCGAAATTGTATAAAATATTTAAGGGGTCATTATTGTAACTTTATATAAAACGTAAATACTGCCTCTTTTTGAATTAAGGTTAAATTGATAGTTCTTCTTAAAATTCAGAATTCAAATCTCTCATCTTTATTTCATAATTACGCAAATTACACTTGAAATTGCTCATTCGTAAGGCGGAGTCCCCTGAGAAGAATGAGCAAGAACCGCTGGTGGTCGCTCTTTGTAAATATACATTTGAATACATACATTTACAATATTTATTTCAAACATCTTTGATTGAGACTACCTGCAAGAGCTAAACGGGTTCTTGTTATCCAAACACGCAGAAGCTGTATAATAAACTTATAGTATAAAGTTTTTGTTGCACTATAATTTTAAACCTCGTAAATGGCAAATTTTGAATATCAACCGGAATCTTATTATGGAAGCTTATACATAGTCTCTTAAATGAATTTATCACTTTGTGAAGACGAATGTCAAGAATAGCTAGTTCATTTTTATACCTCGTGCTAATGTTATGTCTGTCACTATTTTCAAATAACAAAAATACAATTCTTCTTAACACAAGTAACATGTTCGTAAAAGTACTGTAACGGTAGTATAAAAATGTTAATCTATTTAATCTTATCTCTCAAAAACGCTCTAGGGCACAGAATTACCCTGACCGCAGGTTTCTTTTCATATCGGCGGCATTACCCCAAAGCAAAAAGTATTACAACACACACATTAACACAGCTTTAGCTTTAAGAAAGTCTTTCAAGGTGTAGAAAAAAGGTTTTTGTTTGTTTCAGGTTTAAATGCAGAGCTGTACTACGTGCGCGATGGCGTGGTAAACAATTACGCAACGGGGTTCATAGTACCTGTGCCGGCGCATATTGCTGATTTGGAGTTTATGTGGCAGTCTCTAGGAAGAAAACCGGTAGATAATTATATGTTTACTTATATCAAACTCAAACTCAGATAATCTTTCTTTCATAGGTAAGCAAATAACGGGTGTTAACGGGCTGAGATAATGATGATGGTGAAGCAAATAACACTTGAAATTGTCATATTGAAAATGAAGCTATTTCTTCGGATCTAAATAGTCTATGTTGATTTTTGGCTCTTTGCAGGTCCCATGGTCACGGGTGACTGAGATAGTAAAATAATCAACTGATTATGTCTAATATTAGTGCAAACTACATTGTTTTTTACTATTTTTATAAAAGTCCTTAATTAAATACCTGAACAGCGTACGGTTAGGTATTAATGTGGTGGTAGTGCTTGTCTGACAATGGAGTGTGTGGTGTTGTATGCAGCAAATACCAACGGCCTGCTGTGCATGAAATAATGGTAAAGTTAAGATAAAAATATAAAGTACCCTATTAACCCTAACGGTGAGACCTCAAGAGTCGTTCCAATGAATTTATCTAATCCTAACGGTATGTAGCCTAACCTAACCATAAATATATAGACGGAGCAATTTAAATGCAAGATATGAACGGGAAGTCTGTCACCATGAGACAGAGATTTCTCATAAATGGCGCTACGACTAAAAATCGTTGAAAAACCAAATACAAAGACACGACGCAAGCACGTTAAAAAAATTCGTGAGGGCCGCTGGGTCGTTCCGTGGCTTAGTTGGTATAGCGTCTGGCACGGTAAGCTAGAAGACGTCGTCGGTTCGAATTCAGCCGGATCGAAGGAATTTTTTCTGAGTGTTCGATCTTTGTATTAATAATTACAAGAAATTAGTGGAGTAATTTCACATACAAAATAATTGAATAACAATTCAATACAAATTTAAAACTTTTGTGACAATAGTGAAAAATAGGGTGGTTTGTAGTAATATTAAACATAACGCGTTGATGACTTTACCATCTCAGTCACCCGTAACCATTGTGAATATAGTTATGTACTCGATGCCGTGACCACGGGACTTGTAAAGGGTCCGAAACGTTAGTTTGTTTGAAAAAACAAATATACGAGATTGAGATCCGTAAAAATAGTTTCATTTCCTATGTCGATACCTCCAATGAACACTACGCCATCTTTATTTTTTGGTCGTCTTCTGTTATTTTTGTAAACAGCCATATTTATTTGCCTTAGTAAATAAATATGGCTGTTTAATATAAATATAATCTTAGTTGTGCTCCCCGAATTCTGTGAAAAAAAGAAACAAGAACAAAAAAAAACGAATTTTGTAAAAAAAAAGAAACAAAAAACAAAATAAAAATAGAACAGGTCCAAAAATTAAGTTGGCTTAGTGTTCATTGGAGGTATCTATGTGTAACAATTGCGAAAACCTAAGAACTCGATGTGGTCACATTGATTAAACTCTACTGCTCATTCGTAAGGCAGATTGCCTTGAGAAGAATGAGCAAGAAACTGTAGGGGTTGCTCTTTGTAAATAAACATTTGTACACATTTACAAATTTTTACAATGTTCAGACATCATAGATCGACACAATCTGCAAGTGCGAAACGGGTCACTGTCACGGATATTTTCTTCAATTGAATGTGTGTGAATGACAAATTTTAAATATCAATCGGAATCTTATCATTGCCCTTAAATAAATTTGTCACTTTGTAAAGACGACTGTCAAGAACAGACAGACAAAGTTTTATTTCTCGTATAAATATTACGTCTATACATGTATTCCATAACATTCCATACGAACTATAATATTTTACTTTGGAAGAAAAAAGTACTCGTGAATGCTATAAGTCCGGACTGAAGGGTATGCCCGATTTTATTGAAAATTGCACCCAGAGACGTACGGACTAAAACCTCTTCCCCATAAATTACTTTCAACAGACAAGAGGTCCCTACCTTTTTTATTTTCATACCTTTTTTTTGTTAACAATTTCGTGCTTTCATATACAAAAAACTGACTTCAAAATTTAAATTACTTTGTTTGTCATAGTATACAAAAAAGAAACACAAATAAAAATTTATTTTTCATTTAAAATTTATTTTCTTTCCTAAATGGATCTATTTATTACTCCTCTACAGAGGACTGTGGAGTACATAACGCTTAAGTTTACTAAAAAATAATAACAATTAACTTTTTTATAAAAAAAACCGACCTCAAAAGTTCGTGGAATTATATCTATTTGCTAAGTTGTATTAAAATCGGTTACCGGAAAGTGCGTGGAACTGGATTCATCCCCGAGTTTGCTAATTTTAGAGGTGGAATATTTTCAAATTAAAATTGGACCAATATTGAGGCACTTTCTTTCCAACAAAAAAACAATCATCAAAATCGGTTCACAAATACCGGAGTAATTGCGTAACAAAAATGCAGTCGAATTGATAGTCTCTTCCTTTTTTGAAGTCGGTTAAAAATGAACGACATTTGTTTCCTCAAAAGACACCGAAAGTACAAAAATAGTCACACTATTATAGTACAAAACGAAACTAAGTGATTTGGACAAAAAGGCTAGACTGATGTTCACTCTTCACCTAAGTAGGTGTTCGCTTGCTGCACCAAATCCGTGAACCAAATGTACCACCAAATATATCTACATTATACAGTAGGTTCAATGCTAAAGGGCGGTCTTTGTAAAAAGTTTCGTTTGTTGTTTGATTTTGAATTCATTGTAATAAATAATATTACACAAATATTATATCAATAAAAAATCAAATGTAATATTTAATATGTCATTTTTATCTAAAAAATGTAGTATGCTCTGCAACACAACGTAGGTATTTTCAAACCTAAATAGAGAAGCATTTTGTTTCATTTATTTGTAGTTAGTTTTCACTTAATAATTTCAAATATGTAAACTTAAATGGTATATTGATTCGACATTACAAAAGGCCTAATTACAAAAGGTTCCGTTAAATAACGATAATTTGGGAGCAGAGAAGAGTTAATACAAGCCGGGGTTTAACCTAAATACAAAAACATTTTATGCTATTTATTTGTGTATTTTTCATTTATACTTTTATTTATATGTATGTGTATGTACTTTCAAATTTGAGTACTTACGCGGTATATTTACTCGTCGTTATAAAAGGCCTATAATTACAAAAGGTTCCGTTAAATTAGGATAATTTGGGAATAAAGGAGAGTTAATACGGGCACTGGATTCAGTAAATCTGTCTAAAACCTCACAACGCGTTTGGCGACAAGTGGAAGCGTATGTTGACACTTTTAATACAAAATATTTTCAATGAAATCTCTTTCAAAAAAGGTGAAAAACAGATCGAGCGTTTTCCAGACAAAATTATCGCACAGTTTTGGGAATTCCCATAGCTACAGTATCGTATCCAGTTTCTACATTACACAATGGACATAATGTTTATTATGCTACGGTTACAACAATTTAAGCGAATTGTGCCATTCTTCTAACTACATTTTACATTTTGTTTTTGTGATTATTGTCCGATCGTCTGTTGCTGTATATACCTATACTGTTGTATACAAGTTTCTAAGACAAGACAATACATTCTCTGTACATATTGTGCTGATGGCGTATTGAAATAAATAAATGACTTTTCAAGAACCATTTTAAAATGTAATCGTTTTTCCCTACCACGATTTTGAAGTCAAGGCAGCAACACAATGACTCCATTAAAACCTGTATTGTATTACCTCGTAGCTATTAACTTTGCTTAATGTGTTTCTTTATAAGAACGTAAATTATTTTACGAAAATTTCCATGACGCCAAACAACTTAAGCCAAATTTTTTAAAATAAATTCTTAATTAGATTTGGTGGGACCACACTGTATGTCGTTGTCACAGTAATAACAAAATGTATCACATTAACTTATTTTCATTACAAGATTTGCGTAGAATTAAATTGAATGAAAAATCGTCCCTTAAAGCAGTAAGGGACTTACCGTACAATTATGATTTAGTAGCACAGCTCCTTGTGAAAGAGTACATCCAGGGAAGGACTGCCGCTTGACCTATTTCTGCCGCCAAGCAGTAATGTGTGCATTACTGCGTTTTGGTTTTGGAAGGAAAGAGTGCTAGTGAAATAGGCACATGGGACTTTTTTATTTATGTCTCAGCGTGACGGGTGCAGTGCCACAGAATCTCTTATGGACAGGCGTGTCGCTCGTCTCGTCCTGTCACTTAGTATCATAAAAATATGACGCAATTAATTATATACTAATATAGAACGTACAATTCTGAATAGAACTATATGTGAAAGATTTTATATCGTCAAAATTGTGGGTACATATTATACCCATTCATGCTTTAGGTGACGATATGCTATGACATGCTTTTCCAGATAATTTCTTGTCTGAAATTTGTAAACCGCTGCCCATTGACTCTGTCTTTCTCTCTATTTTTATATCAGGTGCTTTAATAATCTGTCTTTCCCATAGCTCCAGTATGTGATGGCCATAGACTACGACAGTAGGGGAGCCATGCTGCCGCCGCAGGTCAACATTTCCGAGAGGGGTTTCGTTCCAACCAAGCTTCAGACTTTCAGGTAATTTGGCCATACACTTTGTCAGTAAAATCAATGTTTTATTTTGTAAGGTATCTAGATTTTAGGAGCCGTAGAGCTCTTTGTGAAAGAGTTTGTTCAGGGAAGTACTGTCACCATACCTATTACTGCCTTTAAGCAGTAAATTGAGCATTACTGCGTTCCGGTTTTGAAAGCTAAGGATGTTGGTGAAACTACAGGCACACGCGACTTGGTAACTTTATATCTCAGGGTAACGGGCGCAGTGACAGTGCCCCTCAGATCATTGCTATTCAAAACTCTAAGTGGCACTGCCACTGTTATAGATAGGCGTGTCACCGCCAGGCGCACGCCTTGTTCGTTCCTTTTTAAGACACTTGGTTTCGAAAGAATATAATAAAAATAACGGAATTTATTCAATGGCACTATTTATAACACCCAAAGCAGAACCAATTTAGAAAACTTATTTTCCCAAATTGTTCTAACGAGAATTGAACCCAGTACTACTTCTGGTTTTAATTAAGTTTGAGCTTTAAAATTGACAGTCGTGAAAAACTAAAACATACTCCCTGTTTCACTTTTCGATATGGCGCTTTCGCCCTTTTTACAAACACCGACGACATTTATAAGTTCCATCTTTATTTGTGCTGAACTGCTTAATATAGCGGCCTTGGTTACTACTGCAAAATGATACTTTTCAGGATAGAGGTTTAAAGATGTATACATACGTATACGATTCTATGAACGAAAATACTGCCGCTGTGAGTTTCTTAAAAAAAAATCTATAAATATAATATCTACTTTTCTCTTGCGGTAACTTATACTTTATCTACCTAGGAAAAAATAAAAACAGTGACAGATGGACTTTTTTTGCTGGTCAGGGCGCTATACAATAGTATATTTTTTATTTAGGGACTAAAATGAGCCAATATAATTTAAGTACGAAAAACGATTTAAGTGCTACGTTGCGTCACTTACGAGTAAATAGTCCATACACAAACGCACTAATGCGGGAAAATACTAAGGCGACACTGTCTATGCGGAAAAGGCACGAAACTAAAACCGAACGTATTCTTTTTGATACAAATTAGAGCAATTCCTAGCTGTTTGAGTTTGTCTATCGAAATAAATTAAAAAACTGCGTGCTTATTACTTCAGCACTTGCACTGATGCACTTGCATGACGCACTTTACGCCCGCTACGCAAGGCTATAATGACGTACTTTTAGAGCACGAGAAGTGAAAACTATTTTAACCGACTTTAAAAAAGGAGGAGTTTCTGAACTCAGATGTATGTATTTTTTTGTATGTATGTTACGCGATAATTTGTGAACCGATGTTGATGATTATTGTTTTGTTGGAAAGTGGGTACCTCATTAGTGGTCCCATTTAAATTTGAAGAAAATATTCCGCCTCTAAAGTGGCAAATTAGGGGATGAATGACTTTCGAGGTCGGTTTTTTTAGTACTCTGAGATTATTTTGAAAAAACGTCACATGCTCACTTTCAACTAGCGGCGGCAGAATAGTCGATAACATTTTATTCATAAATAGGAGAGTTAAATGCATATATATAATTAGTTATATATAGCTAGTGTTATTTTTATCACTTCCATGTGGTAAAAGCACTTTCGACGTATGATTACAAGTGTCTTTATTACGCCAAAGGTACGAGATCTTAAGTCGCACCTTAGGCCCTACCCGAATATTCAGTGAATTCCTCTACTACTCTTAAAGCCCTCGGGGGTCGATAGCTTGATTTAGCACGGCCATAAAATTTTCCAACACTGCTACTATCTAGTTTTTATGTCTTTTGTGAAATATAAATATTGTTAGGAATAGTTTTGGTCTAGATTACTGCTGCACACTATCTTTAAAATACGAAAGAATTTTCCTTGAATCAAGTTATCTAGATATAATATAACGTAAGTGCCTGACAACCTGGCAGATGTAGCGAGATTAGCTCGAAACGTTACGACAATGTGAATTTAACCTAAAGAAAAAAGCGCTGATATTTATTATTGATGTAACGCCATACAAATATGAGCTCAAACTCAAATTCAATATGTCTTTATTTCCAATAACATTTGAAATCGTAACAATGATTAAAACCTACTACTCATTAGTAAATGTTCCATCCTATTGCAATGCTCCGGCGTGGCCAAATACAGGGCGAAATATCTTCCTTTTAGCAGCAATAGAGCTCCATGTGAAATAGTTCGTCCAGGGAAGTACCACCTTACCTATTTCTACCGCCAAGTTGTAATGTTAGCATTATTGCGTTTCGGTTAAGATGCTGGTGAAATTACTGGCACATGGGACTTGTCAACTTATGTCTCAAGGTGACGGGCGCAGTGGCAGTGCCTCTCAGATGTTTGCGATTTAAGGGGGAGCAGAGGAAAAATTCCTAATCTTCGATTTGATTTTGGAGGGGTATATCCACTTTAAAGTTAAAAATAAAATATTGTACACGATATATTCAAGCATAGACAACTAATCAGAACCATAAAACAATAAAGTTTCCTCGATAGATAAAAATCACGAAATGACCTCTAATTTTCACATTTTTTCGATTCATTCTCGAAATGCTACAGGTTATTAGGACAAAAATTAGATAATTAATTATATTTACGCATGATCGAGAACTGTCCCTACGGATTTTTTTAAATCCCTTTAGTTTTAGAGTTATTCCGCTAAAACGAATTCGGTACTTTTAATGCGCAAAATTCAACATCTCCTGTCGCATGTCACGCGAACTTCAGGCATATATTTGTTTCACAAATTTGGGCGGAGCCAACGTCAAAACTTTTTTGGCACGCTCGCTCTTAAAGCTCTGAGTTGCACCGCAACTGTTATGGACAAGAGTGTAGCTTTCCATCAGGCGCACCACTTGTTCGTCCCGTCACTTGATATTATAAAAAAACCTTGGAGTGCCGAGGTCGCTCTCTTATAGATTTCACTATCATCCCCAAAATGAAAATGTAAGATTTATTCATTGAAATTTCACAAAGCAGAATTTATAATACCATATAAGGTGCTTTAATCGGGTATTAAAAATGCTTTGATGTTTAAGATCGGTAAAGCCCACTGGCGATATGTAGCTATGATTATATTTTCCAAGTTATGTACACTAAGGAATGTTTAATAGCAATACCTCAGAAACCTTCATGTTGAAGATATATCAGCTAGTCTCTTAACTCGGTTGAGCGTAGAACCAGGAGATTTATTGGCGATTCGTAGTTTAGCCCACCAAAATTTCCTGTCGTCGATTTTCTATAGAATATACTTCGGGGAGTGTGCCCATGAGCTGCATCAGCCCATTCCACCCGCTACCTTTTACCATCGGACATCCAAGACGTACGATGGGATACCATTCCTACTTGATCGATATTAGTTTCAGGCGTACTAACTACTACACTGCCTCTGTGGCCGAACTGTTATCATACTGGTCTGCCACGTAGAGGACCCGGGTTCGGTTCCCGGGCCGGGAGAAATATTTGTATGACCTACATTTATTTCTCTCGTGAGTTTGGGTGTAATTTGTGGTATTCTATTTGTGTGTCCATGGCACCCGCGATACAGAGTTTTCCTAGTACATAAAAAACTAAGCGCTTTTCATCATCTTTTACGAGTGGTTACGCGCCTAAGAATGAAATTCCTGGCTGCAACTGTATTTCCGTGTACATACAACCCAAGTATCTTTAAAGTGTAACATGAATAGACATCTTCTGGATGAGCTCGTTCCGTCGTAGACCCTGGTTTTGAAGGTTCACAACTCTTGGAAAACGTTTGAAGTCTCGTACCCGCATTTGCCCAACGTGGCCAATTATGGACTAGTCTCATCTCAGAGTGGGACATAATGGATTGAAGATAATAATGAATACTTATCATATTATATTACATTTTTAGTCACTATGTTTTAATGTAATGTTGCACCTTGTTTACACCATAATAACGTGCCGTAAAAACGTAACCACCATTAAGTAGCAGTAGAGTTCCTGTGAAAGATTTCGTTCAGGGAAATACTGCCACCTTACCTATTTCTGCCTCCAAGCTGTAATGTGAACATTACTTGCGTTCCGGTTTAGAAGGGTAAAGGTGCTGGTCATATTTAGGCACATGGGTCTTGTTGTTATATGTCTCAGAGTGACGGTCGCAGTGGCAGTGCCCATAAGATCTTTGCGATTTAAAGCTTTGAGTGGCACTGCAACTGTCATGGATAGGCGCGTCGCTTACCACCAGGTGCACGACTATTTCGTCCCGTCACTTAGTATTCTAAAAAATGTATAGTGGTTAATTTTGATTTTGTGTTCAGGGTCCGTCTACCATGCACGGGTGCCAGGAGCGCCGAAATACTAGTGACGTTGCAGCTGAACATCTCATCTCCAGATCGAGCGCATAAGGACATCAAATTGTTATTCAAACGGAACAAAATCTGTTTGAAAGGTAAATCGTTGTTTTAATCCTAACAAATATTGTCAAAGCGAAAGTAACTATGGTACGTTTTTACGCCTGTACCGTTGAACCAAATTTGATACATTTTGGTTTATAGATAGATGGGACATAGGAGAAGGACATAGGCTAGTTTTTGTCTCAAAAATTAATCTTAAGGGGGTTGAAGTAGAGGGCGAAAATTTGTGTGGAGAACCAATCGTTTATCAAATAAATAGTACAGTAAGCTACTCGAAATACTTGTTCCACGCAGAAGAAGTCGCAGGCACCAACTAGTATAAATCGTAGAAAAAATCTGTAGCTCTGTTGATAGAGCGGTTGCCCTAGATTGGCAAAACAGACACAGGTTCGAGTGCTGTCAGATCGAAGGAAGTTTTATTTGTGTTCAATCGACATACTAGTGGAATCATTTCACAGGAACAAATGAATATCATGGCAGCAAAACATCATAATGTATAGCAAAAAATATTTTATGTATGAAATAGCAAACGCGTTAAACTGCCTCCGTAGCCGAACCGTTACCATACTGGACTGCTGGTTCGATTTCCGGGCCCGGAGAAATATTTGTATGGCCTACATTTATTTCTCTCGTGAGTTTGGCTGTAATTTGTGGTTGTTTCTGTGTGTGTCCATGACACCCGCGATACAAGATTTCTCTAGTGCCAGATTGCCTATAAGCTATGTACGTTATTTATTTATTTTCGTCGATCTCATCATTACTTAACATAAAAAATACCACTTAAAACTATTGGGAAACTACTGTAGCAATCGGCAATTATTCGTATTAATCATATTTCCGATTGCACACATCACACATCGGCTTGAACATTGACGCAACTCAAAAAAGACAAACGTGACAATTAAAATTCAACAACAATGTTTTCATAAAATATCCTACCTAAAACTTACATTAACTAAGTTCATACTGAAAGTAACGCCCACATAAATTTAATCGAGACTAACTATTACTCTCTTAGATCATCAGCGAGTGTTAGACTTATATGTTTGTTAGTTTTACCTTGGGTTGTCAGTTGATCGAACACCTATCTTTTAAGCATACACCAAAATATCACATATCGTTTCGCTTCCACATTAACTTTAGTGGAATTTCCTGCCTGTAGACTTGTTCCCTGCACGGTATAACTTGGGTCTTTTCAAGGCGAGAGTGAGTAGGCATTATTAAGAGCCTTATTGGAGATTTGAAAGCGATGCGTGCTCACCGCGTGCACACCGCGCTGTCGCATCCTTCGGAAATCGACTGTGTGATATGTGGTCTGGGGTGATAACTGATAAGGCTCTTACGTGTCCATGCTCCATCGTCGACTTCATTTTCACTTTCTATCAGTTGAGATGGGCACTTATTATGTAATAAAAAAAGAAAAAATACGCTTTATCACTGACGATGGATTCCGTCAACATTCTTATATAAAAGAAAGTAGGGCTATGACAGTAGTAGGATTGCCGTTGTATCGTAACGAAATACTAAAAACATATTACCAATTTGCTAACAATATAACAATTAACAAAAACGTGGCAAGTTTCTCGCGCCCGTAACAGAGCAGAAAAAAAAACATTTTTGACTTATGACAGTCTTGAATCTGGTGCGCGATGTTATTATGAGTCCTAATATTGGGTATATTAATATGTAATTTCGCTGATTTCGTTACATTTATTTCAATCGCATACGGTACAACTGACTATATAGAACCCTTTATATATATTTTCACATATCACATCACACAATAACGCTGCGCTACAGTAGCTTTTGCAGCACGGTAATAAATCACATGTTGGCCTATTTTTAATCAATCAAACCTGTCCGTCGTATAGAGGTCATGACTTCATGTCTGATGGAATATTTTACGTGCTTTGTTGAGGAAATGGAATTGAAATTAATAATTCCTTTAAAAGTGTCTGTTGTAATGATTTCATATTTTTACGACATGAACTTTCTAAATAGAATTTAGTAATCGAAATGTTAATGGATAATGTACAAAAATTAACTAACTAAAGTTTGTTCAATAGGTATGTCTTGACTTTACAATACTTTACGCCTTAAAATCAGGAAAATGAATGATAAAATAAAAATAAAAATACTAGGGCATGATTACCAGAAACTCTAAGAAGAGCAGAGATAGAGTTCTATAAGTCTACTAATTTATTCTATAATATACCTCAAAGTCGTTTACACAAATACTAAACCGTAACCTAAATTAACATAAAATCCACTCTACACCATAACAATCCAGCTAAGTGCAATTGAAAAACTGCCAAAGTTGTGCGAGTCCCCTCCAACAAATCATTTTACAACATGATTGGTGTACTAAAGTCATATAAAGGTTCTATAAAAGCTATATAAGAGAGAGAGAACTCGCACACTGTCTATTGCAATAATAATAACGATAAATTTTGACAATCATACTTGTGGAAGTTTGAAAAGGGTGAATTGAAGTTAGTGTTTTGTTCATTTTATCAGCAAAACTTCTAAGTGGCATAGCGTGTATTAGTCGGATGTCATTTGTTTTTATTCGTTCCTCCAAATAATTTCTTTTTTTTTCTAATTTTGGTAAATGTGAGTATTGTTGGTTTATAACAGTAGCTATACAGCTATTTAAACAGAATGAATATTTAGTCCGATTAATTTGTAGAAATTGCCTTACATCTCGCGATTTTTCTCAAGTATAAAAATACAATATAACCAATTCTCTTACAGGCGAAAGAGCAAGTTTACTCCACAAATCACTCCCTCGCATTCTTTATTAGCATGTAGACGGTACTTGACGACAAATTTTATGAGACCCCTGACTATTAAGCCATCCTGTTTTTCGCCTTAAAGTTGGGAAGGGATACTTTATTACCGAAAGCTAGGAAGTCCTTGTTAGATGTCTTTTTGTTTACGTTGATTTTCAAAGTACGTCTAAACGCTACGCTTCTGTTACAGTGCATGTATTCTACAATTATTTTCTTTATTTATATTATTTTGGCATTTAGGCATACTTTACAATCAATATAAACCCAAATCTTACAATCTATTTAATTGTAGATCGATTTTTAAACCTTATCTATTGTTGCGGACACATAGGACATTTCTAGTAAAGTAAAAATCATCATGTTATACCTATTTATTTATTGAATATCATGATGTATCTACTACTATAATATTCTTATACTTTTTGTCAAAATACTCCATTAGTTTCTTATTATTATTAATACAAAGAACAACAAACACGAATAAAAAATCCTTAAATCGGGCTGGACTCAAACTAGCGACTTTGCTAAATGGCGCTACGTCAAGAAAAAGTCTAACCTAACCCAAAAACAAAACCTGCATTAAGCACATAGACAAATTCGTAAGGTCTAATGACTCGTTTTGTAGTTCAGTTGGTATAGCGGTTGCCCTGGTTTGGCTAAGTCGCTGATTAGAATCCAGTCGGCTTGAAGGAATTTTTCTTTGACTTCGTACGATTATTATATGAATATTATTAAATTAAGTTACATTATGTCATAGTTAAGTTTTGTACTTATTACACATTATTGCATGCTAATAAAAGGACAATGCCTTGAACACGTTTCTATTTGTTATGTTTGTTTGTTCATAGGGTTACTACAGACAAAAGTATTAGGATATGATGTTAAACATATTTTTTATTGTTTTTTTTTATTATTCTGGCTAATGTAAAATAAATAAATAAATATTACACAACATCACATACGTTGCTATAATCCCAAAGTAAGCGATTATATCACTTTTAGTTACGCATAGTAGAGGGGATCCTAGATTGGGAGCTAGGCACATCCTGTACCTATTTTTCTGTATTTTGAATTTTTTTTATACTTGTATTATGGAAATCGGAAACAATGACGACCGACCGGGGATCGAACCCGGGAACTTAGAGATGGTGAAAACTGGTGTGCAAGTCAATCGACTACGGAGGTCGTCGTGTAGAATTTATATCCTTGCCTTTAAATTCCTTTAGAGCCCATCTCCAAAGATCACATAAAATTGGTACCGTACATACAAACGCAACAAGATATTTCGCGGGGGATAAAGACGTATCAAGGGGGGCCGCCCCTCATTTTAATGTGTTTACACGGAAGTATCGATTGTTCCATTGTACTTTTATTTGACTTGGAAATTTCTTCCTTTTACACGCATTAAATTCCCTTCAAGATTTACAAATTTCTTTCCTTCTTTTATTTTTAATAGCTTTTTTATATCAAAGAAAATAAGGTGTAATATAGAGAATATAAAATTATTTTGTTTAGCTTATGCAGCGGCTTTCAAATTGGAGGTATTAGGTAGAATAATTTCGTATTTGCAAAAAAGGCAGGTAAGGGAGTAGGTACACCAAGATTAGACAGTGCTACAACTGTGGTGGAAACCTTGGGTCTCTGAAGGGTAAGCACGAAATATATCGCAAAGGAGCTTTCAATTTGCCTCGTTCAAGCATCCAGTGACTAGAAGGCTGGCAGCTACAAGGAATTACAGGCCCATGGGACTGCAGTGCCCCTCAGATCTTTAAAGCTCTGAGCGGTACTTCGGTACTTGTACGTCCCGTCACTTAGTATGATAAAAAAAATAAGCTTAGTCACCCAAGGGCCTTATTTAGAGCGGTGGCGGGCGCGGGTGTGGGCGTGGGTGCGCCTAAATCAAATGTACGTAGACGCTCATTGCGTTCACAGTTGCGACGTGCGCGGCCAGACAATGGCTCGGTCTGCCTATACAATTCACAGTGCTTGGTCTAGCGTCTAGTGTCTGTTTGCGATTTCGACTTGTGGACCTACCCGCTCGTAGCCGCTTCGGCGCTGTGCAAGGGAAGACGCCAAGACTCGCGCGCCCGCACTCGCCGCCCCGCCCGCGCCTGCACTCTGAATGAGCCCAAATGGAAAATTTTGCCAACCTCCTTGCCATGACTGGGCAGAAAATTAAATTTTATTGATACTAAATTACTTACATTTCGAAAAAACGAGTCTTTCTCTTGTATTAATCAAAA